GCGCAGGGGTTAATCGCTGGGCTGCTAACCGAAAGGTCAGCAGCTCGAGCCCACCCATCGGCTCTGCAGGAGAAAAGACCTGGAGATCTGCTTCCCTGAAGATTACAGCATAGGAAACCCTATGGGGAAGATCTACTTTGCCCTATAGGATCCCTATGAGCTGGAATCCACTTGATGGCAATAGGTTTTCGGACCAACGCAGCGAGCACCGAGATAATAAAGGAGGAAGAAACCGAAAATCGTCAATACGACGACCCCGCCCTCACTTAAAACGGGGTGTCTACTCACCTTACTCTACAGCTCTGCATTGACCTTTACCTCCTAATAAAAACCTTCTAGAAAGCGCTCTGCAAAAAGGAAAGGCAAACGCGGACACACTGCCCCTAAACAGGTGCCGGAAGGCCTAAAAAGCCAACCCTGTTGATCGGGGCGACAAGCCGTAACTCCGTACGCAAGATGGCGGCCACCTCACGGTTCCCAGGCAGGAAGGCCGGTTTCGCGCCTGGCATTGTGGGAACTGAAGTCCTGTGTTCCCACCAGCCCTGTAAACATCGCCGTACATCGCTGTATGGAGACTCTGTCTCCCAGAATCCACTGCATGACAGATGCACTGGGTCGTTTCACAACAAACCAGGACTGGAATGGAGACTTGGTCTCCCAGAATCCATTGCGTGGCCACGTACTGGTTTGGCAACAAACCCACGACCGGAACTAGTACCCCAATAAGGGGCGGAGAAGTTTACAAATGCCAATCTTGGCTGAAAACCCGGACGCATGCACCAGTGTTTACCCGTAAAGGGAAAAAGAACGTGAGTGCTGTGCCTGGCACCACAAGTGGATGCGTAATCTACTTTCAGTGCATGCTTAAGACTTTCTAGGAGACAAAGAACCAGCGGGCTTTCAAAGGGGACTCAACATTTGGTATCTCCAAGTAGAGTGGCCGTCGTTTCTAAGAAAAACCACTAGGCATTTTAGGGTCATGCTCTTCTATCAAAAAGAGACTCTCTACAACAGAGGATAATAGATAAAAATACTCACGAGAGAATCATTTAGTGTCGTATCTTTTTTTTTTTTTTTTAATTAAAGACCAATGAGCTTTCTCGTTTGAAAAGTCAACATGTGAAAAGAGATTGGAGCACGGCCTGGTAACAAATAAGTGCTATGTAAGTGTTAAATTAAAAATAAATACAAACCGAACAGCTGTCCATCTGAACAGCTTAGGCCCCTTCTCTGGTTCCCCTCCGCCCCGCCCCCCAGCGTTGTCCTTACACGGGACAATTGCTAATTTCATCATATTTAGAGGTATCTTTCTGAAGGTATGTACCTTTCCCACCCTCTTTTTAATTTATAAATGCAGTAGTTAAACTCACACTCTGAAGTGTTTATATTTGATTATTTAACTAACACCACTGTGTCCCGTGAATATACCATGGACTGCCAAAAGAACGAACAAATCTGTCTTGGAAGAAGTACAACCAGAATGCTCCTTGGAAGCAAGGATGGCAAGATAACGTCTCACTTACTTTGGACACGTTATCAAGAGGGATCAGTCCCTGGAGAAGGACCTCATGCTTGGTAAAGTAGATGGTCAGCGAGAAAGTGGAGGACCCTCAATGAGATGGATTGACCCTGTGGCTGCAACAGTAGGCTCAAAAACAGCAAGGATTGTGAGGATGACGCAGGACCGGGCAGTGTTTCATTATGTTGTAAATGGGCTCGCTATGAGTTGGAACCAACTCGACAACACCTAACAATAACAACAACACTGTCCCAAGTGATCCATCCACTTACAAAGAATCTTCCTCAAATACAAACTCCCACTTTTAGGTTTTATGTTTCTTCCTGATTAGATTCAAGTTATACATCCCTTGAAATATCCACATGAGTGAACTTGTGTCTGTCCTTATTGCATCCTTATTGGTGGTATTAATCCTTATCACCTGATCAAGGTGTTATTCAGCTTTCTGCAATGTATATTTCCCCCTTGTAACTAATAAATAATCTGTAAGTCTTAGAAGAAATACAACCAGAATGCTCCTTAGAAGGGAGGACAGCAAGACTTCAGCCCACTTACTTTGGACATGTCATCAGGAAATACTAATCGACGCAAAAAAAATCGTGTTTATTAGAGGGTTGGTGAAAATGAGGGAAACTCTCAATGACATGGATTAACGCAACAGCCGCAACCATGGGCTCAAACATAGCAATGATTGTGATGGCCCAGGACCGGGCACTGTTTGGTTGTGTTATACACAGGGTCACCATGAACCAACTGGACAGTAACTAACAACAACTAGGAGATACTTTGAGACCAAGCGACTATCTGATTCCTATTCACTTTTCCTCATCACTCATCATGCATTGATTCTTGGTCCAAACGATCTTTACCTTGATGGTTGCAGAATGTTTTATTTTTTTCCCCTAACTGTTATCTGCATTTAATTTTTGGATCTTTTCATATTTATGACACTTTCTCAGACATAATTGACAGCTATTTGGTAACTTCATCTATAAATTCTTACAGGATACTCCAGTATTTTTAATTTCGGTAAGGAAACTTGAACCCAGGGCAGCTGGGTGATCTTTCAAGCTCCTTTTACTCCTCTTGGGTGTTATTTTCTCCGCACTAATGTTTCATGGATGAGGCACTGGTGGTTCAATGGTAGAGTTCTCTCATCTCATGTGGGAGAAGCAGGTTTCGTTCCTGGCCAATACACCTCATGCATAGCCACCATCCATCTCTTAGTGTGCTATGATGCCGAACAAGTTTCAGCCAGGGTTTCAAACAGGTTCATTCCAGTTTGAACCCCTGCTGAGAATTTCCATTTCCACCACAGATATACCGAATCAGAATCTAAATTTTAACAGTACTTATATACACATAAGAATCACCTGGAGAATTTTGTTACAATGTAGATTCTGATTCAGTATATATAGGGTGAAAAATTCTCAGCAGGAGTTCGAGCTGGAATGAACCAGTTCAAAGCCGTAGTTTCAGCAGAGCTTCCAGACTAAGATGGACTAGGAGGAAAGGCTTGACAATGTATTTCCAAAAATCAGCCAATGAAAATCCTATGGATCACAACAGAATAGTTGTGTCATATATGCATCCAATGACAGCACTCCAAAATACATAAACTTTAACAGCACTGAAAAGAAAAACAGACAGTCCACAGTAATAGTAGGAAACTTCAACACACCACTTTCAGTGAAGGACAGAACATCTAGAAAGAAACTCAGTAAAGATACAGAAGATCTAAATGCCACAATCAACCAGCTCAACTTCATAGACATATATAGAACACTCCACCCAACAGCAGCAAAGTACACGTTGTTTTCCAGTGCACATGTAACATTCATCAGAGTAGACCACGTTTTAGGCCACAAAGCAAGTATCAAACAAATTCAAAACATCGAAATAATACAAAGCATCTTCACTGATCAAAATGCCATAAAAGTAGAAATCAATGACGAGAATAGCAAGGGAAAAAAATACATGGAGATGGAACAATACCTTGCTTAAAAACTATTGGGTAATAGAAGAAATCAAGAATGGAATAAAAAAAATTCACACAATCAAATGAGAACAAAAACACATCTTATCAAAACCTTTGGGACATAGCAAAAGCAGTGCTTAGAAGTCAATTTGTATAGCAATAAACATACACATCAAAAAAGAAGGAAGGACCAAAACTAAAGCATTAACCTCACAACTGAACCAAATAGAGAGAAGAAAAGAAGCCCACAGTCACCAGAAGAAAGGACATAATAAAGATTAGAGAAGAAAGAAATGAAATTGAGAACAGAAAAACAGTAGAAAGAATCAACGAGACCAGAAGTTGGTTCTTCGAAAGGATAAACAAAGCCAACAAATCATTGGCCAAATTGACAACAGAAAAATGGAGAGGAGATAAATAACCTGAATAAGAAATGAATGGGTGATATCACCACAGAATCAACTGAAATAAAAAGGAACATAACAGAATACTATGAACAATTGTACTCTTAACAAATTTAAAAACCTAGAGGAAATGCACAAATTTCTAGAAACACACTACATAGCTAAACTAACACAAACTGATGTAGAAAAACTAAATAGACGCATAACAAAAGAAGAGATTGAAGGGGTAATGAACAGCCTCCAACAACAAGAAAGCCCTGGCCCAGACAGCTTCACTAAAGAATTCTACCAAATTTTTAGAGAAGAGCTCACAACAATACTACTCAAAGTATTTCATAGCATAGAAAAGGAAGGAATACTCACAAATTCATTCTATGAAGCCAGCATAACCTTGGTACCAAAGCCAGGCAAAGACACCACGAAAAAAGAAAATAAACCAATATCCCTCATGAATATAGACGCAAAAATCTCAAAAAGATTCTAGCCAATAGAATGCCAGAGCATATTAAAAAAAAAAATACATCTACTTTACTGTAAAAACTCATGAAAAAGGTTACACACAAAAAGAAATAATCTTTGTTGGTGTATGAGGGATGGGAGGGGTGGGGCAGGGAAACTAAACAGACAATAGATAAGTGGTAACTTTAGTGAAGGGTAAAACAGTACACAATACTGGGGAAGCCAGCACAACTTGTACAAGGAAAGATCATGGAAACTCCATAGACACATCCAAACTCCCTGAAGGACTGAATTGCTGGGTGGAGGGCTGTGGGGACCATGATCTTGGGGAACATCAATTGATATAGCACAGCTTATAAAGACAAAGTTCTACATTCTACCTTGGTGAGTAGTGTCTGGGGTCTTAAAAGCCTATGAGCAGCCATCTAAGATACTCCACGGGTCTCACCCCTTCGGAAGCAAGGGAGAATGAAGAAAACATGATACAAGGAAGAGATTAGTCCAAAGGACTAATGGACCACAGCTACCACGGCCTCCGCCAGACTAAGTCCAGTACAGCTAGATGGTGCCTGTGTACCACCACTGACTGCTCTGACCGGGATCACAA